TCCTATTTTATTTAATTTTAATTGGGAAACTGAAACAAATACCTAAAATTCTACCTTAGTATCACCTGGAGAAATCCACTTATAAGGGCCGTTATCTTCGTCATCTGGATGAGTTGAATGAGTTCGTAGTACATTTACATTACCTGTATTGAATAATTTAGAAAATAACGGGTTGGAATATAAAGATATTACTTGAATAATTACGCATCAAACTGCGTTTGATACTTCATCACTGTGAAGATAAAGTGATCTGAATTTAAAAACAAAGAAAAAGAAGTCAGCCATCTTTGCAATTAAATTTTGGAATTTCCTGAAAAAAATTTATCATCGGCAGCTATCGAGAAAATAGTTATCAAATACGATTTTATAATGCTAGAAAATGCTTAAAGTCATAATTGTAGTTAACAATAAACTTCGGGAAAAAGATCTGTAATACAGGTATATTTTTTAATATAACTAAATTAGAACAACCACCATTTGAAAGAATTAATAAAATCGAAAAGAAATGACCAAACTTACCGGGAATGATCAGAGTGAACACTTGTTTCCCAGTCCATAACGGTTTTGGTTTTAATATAGCAGGCTGCGGAACTTTCCCATCCCAGTTCGGCATTTGCATCAATAGATCCATCATCCGTGGTAATTCAATAAACACATCGCGTTTAGTCATCATACGGACTGCAGTGAGAGTATCTTGAACAATACCCATCACTGGTTTGTTTGCTTGCGGTGTGATCAACTGTCTATAAACTAATTCAACTTTTTTTAATACGATTACCAAGTAAATAAAAGAATGAATCAGTTAATGAATTTTTTTACAGAAATTTATTCCGATTAAATGAGCAAACCTTGGCACCATTGCGATTTCAGAAACTTCAGCTTTCGTTTCCAAACTTTGCGGCAAATGAAGATTCATCTCATCCCCATCGAAATCAGCATTGTAGGGTGTTGTTACAGATAGATTCAAACGAAATGTTGACCACGGCAGAATCTGGAAAAATATTCCATTACAAATCTAACTTTGAAATGATGTATATATCCAATATTTTTATCAGGTCTAATTATCACGAAGTTATTGATTTTGTGATCCAGAAGTCTCATTTCGTCCAGCAAGTCCTCTCATTTTAATTTAATTGAAACTTATTCTTGACCACAAAAACTGTTAGAGCTATTAAAAATCATGACCTTAACTTTATGGCCCATCATTGACATTTTGTGTAGCGTTGGTTGCCGGTTAAATACAATAATATCACCATCTTTCATATGCCGTTCCACTCTGCAATGAAATGAATCAGGATTTTTAAATGTTGAACGACATAAGATATTAATAAGCAGTTATGCAGAAAACTACCATATTGCACAAACTGTAAATAACCCGGCCACAGCATTACCTGTAACCAGGCTGCAAATGAAGATCCGCCGCTCTTGGATGATAACGTAGATCGACTCGAGCACCATTTTCACGAATGATATATTTTGCTCCAGGATACTGACTGTCACCGCGATTTACCAATTCTTGTAATCTAAAAACTAACTTATACAGCCTTTAATTCCAAGAAAATATTTAGTTTATACAGTCTTGGATCTCAAGAAAGTATTTTGACTTTAATTCCTGAGGTGGAACCAACTGAATTTAAGATATCAGGTCAAACACTGAATAAAAAAATAAAACACATAAAAACTAACTTATCAATATTGAAAGGTGTAACAATTTCTGGGAATGTCATATTTTGTGCAATAGTACGAGGTACACCAACTGTATCTATGGGCAAGTTTGGATCTGGTGTAATCACAGTTCGAGCTGAGAAATCCACTCGTTTACCCATCAAATTTCCTCTGATTCGGCCTTCTTTTCCTTTCAGACGTTGTTTGATTGATTTCAGCGGTCGGCCTCCTTTTTGTGTGGCCTAAATTATCATTCCCATGAATTTTCAGTTTCCAAACAAGAAAATTAAGTACATCAAAAGTTAATCTGGATTATGGAAGTTTCTGTCACAATAACTTTGCAATTAACACTAATTAACAATGGTATGCCTGCGGTTCTCAAAAAAATATATTTGCCATAAGTAAAAAATATATTTATAATAATTACTTATCATAATTTTTATAAATGTAAAAAGACGGTGTAAACAAGTCGCAGTCATACCGCAGGAAGGCCAGGAATAGAATTATCAATCAATGTGGCCACGTGATACTGCAAAAGCTTAACGTCCTCTGCAAGGACATGTGCAGCTGCTCCATTTGCTTCATTTCTAAATTAAAGCCATATTGTAATTATTAGAATATAACTTGGATTTCCCTCCGACCAGTCAGAGGGGAGTCCAAATTCGTGCAAGTAATTACATTTAATAATTACTTAATAATAACAATTGCATTTAATAATAACTAGTGTCAATAACATGAACTAAGATTTAAGAAGTCTCAACAAAATTGATTATCAATAGACAATTTGTCCCTGCATTTTGGAATAAATTTCTCCACTTTCTACTCGTTTTTAGTTTTCCTCACGAAGTTTTGAACTAAATAAGAAAATGAAGCCTCAATCTACAACTAAGAAATACCGCTTTAGTTGATTATTAGTCTTCACGATGTCGGAGAGTTTGTGCGTTAAGTCATCCTGATTACGCGCCGAACCAAAAGTAACTACAGCAGGTCGAACAGTTAATGGGGGCACCGGAATCACTTGCGCAATCATCCAGTCTGGGCGAGCATATCGTGGATCCATACCTAGGATATATTTTAGAATGAATGTTAGTTTCAACATATATGACGAGTTAACTCACGAAGATCTATAAATCTGCCATGTCACTGTTTTCTGGATGTCAGAACAGACTTTCCATCCTTAGGATTCTTGTTAAATAAATCACCAAGTATGAGACAATCGGAGTCTGAAATTGACTTGAAAATCTCCAGTGCTCGCTCTGCAGTTAAAACGATTTTTCTTTCCTGCAATATCACTTTTATGAATTGCAATCCTGATATAAATATGATATAAAAGGATTTCATTTCGCTTATTTAATCCACCGCAGTCTTTCTAAGGTTAAAAACTGGCATCAAAAAGTTTCGGTTCCGCGTATCTTCATGTCTTAACCTGCGTATCTTCGTTGATGTGCTTCTTCCATTCTGCTATGATATCTATTCCAACTCGCTTGTATGAAGGCTGATATCTACCACAACCACCTGATTTGATTTCTTTCTCACTCTCTTCACCGTCCTAAAAAAGAAATATGCTAATAAAAAAATCAGTATTTCGACTTAACTATCTATATTACACTTGAAAACTTTTTCGTGTTATCGGTCTAAACACGAAACGTAAAACAGTTACTGCACCGTTGGTCCATACAATATCGACCCACTGTCAAATCCTACAACTCTACTGAATTTGAAATCTCTAATGTTGATTCTAGATATATAAATACCCATTCGAGTCAATACTCAAACTATTAGTGGATTATTTACTCATGTATTATGGAACATTTTTATAAACTAATATACGCTGGTATATTCATGGCGCAAATTGCTTTCTCTTTTCTATTAATCACTACTAGAAGGTTATAACTAAAAAGGATAAAAAGTAAAATCACCTCTCCTCCAACAGTATGCAATTCATCACCACCTTCACAAACAGTTTTGGATTTGCATATTTCATAAATAACGGTCAGTCTACGGCGTGCATTTCCAGCAGTCTTTTTGAGCAGCTCTTTCACTCGAGGGCTATCTTTATCAACCATTAATCGGCTACAGTAGAAACATACACAACGCAGTAGCTGCAGAATACACAAGGACAATTTTCATGAGATGCAATAAAATGATGAAAACAGTACTACCTCCTAATAATTAATAATATCATTATAGAGCTACCGATGCTTACCTCAAATAAAAGCACTATATAAAGGAAGGTATACTATCTTCTTCACTTCTTTACATGCATAGAATTACAATACAATGCTCTTTACAACATAATGTATTTTTCAACAATATAATGTAAGTGAATATAACTAGTTACCTTCAATGTTTTACTCAAAAAACCGATATGAAATACAGGTTTGGCCAGTTCAATATGTGCAAAGTGTCCTGGACAATCAGCTAAACTACCAGCGCAAGTCATGCAACGCCCTCTTCGATCGACTACGCCTTGTCGTGGATCCATCAGCCCACCCAACTTCGGTTTTCCATTTTCATAAATTTCGGAAAATTCAATTTCCCCAATTGACATCCGTTTCTGCATAACAAGCTGTGCATGTTCGCGAAATATTCGAAATACAACTGGTTTTCAACCTCTTCAGCAAATGCATTGTTTAGGAAGTGGACCAGAATTAAGCTAAGAGTAATATAAACTGAGCTTTCCAAAGGTAAAGATTTTTAGATTTCATAAAAACATAATTCACTAACGATTTCATCAGGACTGAGGATACCAAACTGTACACGTTTCACTGTGCGTAGAGGTGCACGAAAATCCACACCGACAAGAGCCATGGATATTGCGCTGTCTTCAATCACTAATTGATAATGACCAGATTTTTTGCAATTTATCTATGAAAGAAGCATATTTAAGTATAAGCAAGCATAGTTGATGATCCCGATAAATGATAATTCAATGTGCCTGACTTCTAGGGAAGAGAAAACTGACACAGAGAGGTGTTACTCTAAAGCTATCCAGCTACAGTCGATTCTGGGGATGTTAAAGTCTTTCTGACGAAACATAAGCGCACAAAAGTGCAAATGTCCTGCTTAACATCTTTTTTTAGCCAAAGAGATCTCTCCTCCCTCCGAGTTTAATTTCCTGCAACAGCAATCTCTTGTGGTCTAATTTGCTGAATTTTAACAAAACCAGAAGAGCTGTGCCACGATTTGTTGTACTGTATAAGGTACGCTGTGCAAATGCATCGATCAGACAGTTTGTAGGTACTTCGAGAGACGTGTTGTGGGAGGAGTAACGTTGTCAAATTGAGACGGAGTGGTGAGGTAATTTGCGTAACTGTGAAGTAACTTTTTAAAAAATGGGTATAATAGCTTTCGTTTAGCGAACTCTATTTATTTGTTATAATGTCGTAGTGCACTATGACAAGTTTCAAGAATTCACTCAGATCTCTCATATCTGACCATCACTGAAAGTGACCAGTGCACCGAAGTACTACTTGGGAAACTCCTTCGATATTACGGAGTTGAAGAAAGTCGCAGCTTTTATCTTCAAGTATAGTAATGAAGGAATCGAAATCGATGTAGCGAGACCGCTGAATCAGCCAAGTAGCGCCGTAGAAGAATCTATCCTGGCGCATCAGTTTTACCTGTCCCTCTCGATTATATCGCATTGCGATAAGCTGGACTGGATTACCTACTATAACATTTCAGTAGTTCGTTTTAAACAAATCACAGTTACACCGGAAACAGATATTTACCTTGAGGTTGGTTCCTCATATCTAATGTGCTTTTCACATCAATCAATCAGCTGAAATAGGTGGCACTGGTGTCAGCTGATGAGCTACATTTGTTCCCCTACTTCAGTCAGTTACGGTGTTCGTATAGCATTGATGTTCATTTCGCTTCTTATTCCTTACCTGAAGTGAATTGACCTTTTAATTTTTAGTTTCTGATTTAAAATCGAGTTCATCTATTATCATTTGGACTTTGACCCAGACTAACTAGCTCTAAATTAGGGACAAACAACTGTGTAACACTTATCGTTATCAACCAAAAATCAATGGAAAGACCTCATTTTTTGATGTGGGTGCTTATTAGAATGAGTACCTTGAAGTTAATGCAAACAGCACTATTCCGGAACTACAGTCACTGCAGCGCTCTCTGAGATAACTGTAATGTTGGCTCAACTGTACATTAACCATTAACCTCAATATTAATTTATGCAAGAAGGTCTGCAGTCATCAGACTTTCCGTCTAATTTAACTCGTTTTACATCTTAAGCTTATACAGGAAAATGAACCATTCCTCATCGTTTTTTCTTATGCAACAACGCAATCAGTTTGGGAATTTGGCCAATCAGCAAAGGTCAACTACAAACCCGTTTTCTTTGCCGCAAAAAAAGGTGTGATCTGAGACTGTTTGGGACCGAGAGCACGTCAAGTGGTCTACAAAAGACCAAGAAAATAATGTAGATCTATTTGTAGGGTTGAAGTATTATTCTATAGCATTTGCATTTCAGAAACAGTACTTATGTCCACTGCAACAGAACTATCTTATTTGGGCAGGAGGCATACGGCACAGCCTGTTATGGTAGCAGTCAAAAATTCATTCTGTTAATGGTGGCGCATTCGGTCTTCATTATAACCTGTGTAATGATGATAGTAATGAAATGTTTTATATATAATGTACCATTTTGAGCATAGTTTAAGAGTGAGAAGGAGTCAGCCGGTTCCTCGAATGTAGGTGATGGGATGCCATGTCATGCTGGCATGTCTCCTCCACACATACATATTGCCGCCGTACGATCAACTCTTTCCCGCAACCCGGTCCTCGTTCTTACGGGTTCTCCACCTAATATGTCACCCTCTTTATTTCATCTACACTGTCACTTGCTTCTTCGTTTATTTACTTTATTGCAATATTTTTGCACGTAATTTTAGAACCAGTAAAGGTTTAAAAAAGTAGTATAGTAGTATCTTTTTAACCTTCCAATAACTAAACAAACCAAGTTCGTACAATTAGGTTCCTATGAAGTGCAGTTGTGACGTAATCTCTTAGCACCGCTCCATGCAATTCGCTTCACCGCAGAAGTGATCCAATCAGGCACTGTTAAAGACTGCTCCTTCAAAGGTAATGTTCTTTTTGAAAAAGAAAAAACTGATGTTGCAGAGTTTCAAAATTATGCCAAAACCCCTGCAATATGATATTTGCTGGGAGAGAAATACAAATTTTTGCTGGGCCCACATCTTACATAGACAAGAAGCGCCTTCCCGTTGTCTGACGTTCATCTTTCCTCTTGTTAAGCTGCCAGTGGATTAGAGCATCTAATATTAAGCCATCCAAGGCTTGTTATTTTCTTCCCAGCTCTCGAGAATGTGTATTATGCTGAACTGTCCCATCGTTACCATTCGTACATCATGATGAAATGCCCAAATTTAGTTTTGCTTATTAAAAAGAAATCGATAAAATTGAAAACCGAATAAGACTGAAATTAATTGGAGCTAGTTGCGGTAATCGGAAGTTACTCTCACCGTTTCCTTCGTTTTCATTTTTTTTAATTTCATTCGAATTTAATTGCATGGTATTGGTTTAATTGTAGGCGAAATTTTTAGAACTATGCTGGAGAACTGAGAAACTGCTTAATCATAAGATGCATTTGCAGAGATGATTATTTGCAGAAATGATCCTTCTTACTGTTCGAGCGCTCCTTTAATTATCATTTCGTGTATCACTTATTTGTATTATTCTTTCGTCTGCCACTCCGCTTCCGTTTTCATTGCAAACCCAACCGTATATGAATGGTAGATTAGGGGATTTCTTTTGAAACTTTTCTTTTGACTTGTTTTTTTTCCTTTTTTTTTGTTAGGGAAAATTAAATTTCCCATAGATTCTACTGTCTTTTCTCCCATTGTCTCAGTTTCTTTTCTCTCCGTTGCTAAACATACTCAGCAGAATCGTTTCTCACTTCAATTTTTTAGTTGATGCAGTGCTACAATGAATTACTTTGACTTCTAATTTTTCCTAATAAGCAAATTTTTTAATTTCCGACTCACAAACATTTAGCAATGTATAAAGTTTTCATATTCTATTCAAGCGTTTAATTTTAATTTGAAGATATCACATTAAGATAACATAGCATTCATAGCATCATCGATATCATAGCATAGGACGCATTCACCATTCTTCAATTAAGATGAGAGTTTTAGCTGGTCGCTAAGGAATAGTTAGAAAATATTGTAAAAATTAAAGGATAAGAATAATAGTATCACGATAGTTGGATGTTTGAAAGATGGAGTGAGGAAAGGAAAGATTGGAATGGAATTTAATTAGAAATGATGTTCGAAAGCGCATTTATTTGGAAGGAAACAGAGCAGAATCTTCGGATACAACCCAAAGATAGAAGAGACGAAAGATGGAATTGCAGCAAAATGGTGTGATCATTCTAACCAGTTTTGTTCTCTCTGATTGTTTATTTACAGTGAAATTGTCGGTGCTGCAACGCTTACACCCATAGCCGTTTCCTAAAATATAATGGTGATTGTAATGCCTTAAAATGTCGACACATAATCACCGTATTTGTTTAATTTGCTCGAATTTCAGGTTAAATACGAGCCATTCTAACACAAATCTATTGATATGTTCACTTCCGTTCAGTAATTGCGACATGCTCGGGCAGCGCTTCCAGCAGTATTGCCTCTTTACTGTAAGAAGGAATATCAATAGATTTATGTTGGAATTGCTTAGCACTAAAATTTAGGATTAGAAATTTTTAAATTTACAACTTGAAACTAGATTTTTGAAAGTGAGCTATTGAATTTATGAAATCATGATGTGGCCGAAATTTAGTTGAGTTTAAATATATGTGTAACAATCTACACATGTATTTAATGTCAATGAAAATTTTAAGCTCAACTAAATTGTCAGGCTAGTCGTCCAGTTTTGGTTTTTCAATCAACAGAGATTGCTCGAAAAAAGGTTGAATACCAGTGAAGTCCTTCGAACAATTATCGACATGTGTTTGTTTATTTTCGAGCCTTTTATTTCTGCAGCAGATTTTTTCCTAGTTCACTTTTTTTAGTGCGATTAAATCTAATAGAAATTGTGCTAGAAGAAATAAAATTAAGGAGAATGAGAAAGATTGCGACAAAAACTACTAGCTTTTGTCCAAGGTTTTTTGTCCAGGAAGGATCCGAAAATGGTTCACACTTTTTTTAGTTTATCAACTCTACGATATCCATCTTAGTTGATGCATAAACTGAATTAAATTGCCAAGATTTTTTTCCCATAATCTTTGGCCTTCGATCTGAAATCTTTGTATTTGACAATCTTTCCATGTCGTTCGTTTCCAGTTCGATTTTTCTCTGATCTCAATTTGATCATCTTAACTGCAGTTATATCCCAGTTATGTTTAGGATTCCTATCAGTTACCATTCTAAAATTGCAACTTATTTCAAATTTTTCTTTTCCCTTTCCACCACCTTTCCTAGTTGATACTTCCATTCGAAGATTGATTCTAACTTAATTATGCCTACACAAACAGTCGGCTTATGCCATTTTGCTACAACCACTGATATGATCATTAAAGATTCTTTTATACCCGTGATATATTGACATTTACTGTCAGTTGATGTCTTTACTATGTCTAGTCCCACACCAAAGTATCGATTCTTCAAGGATTATATCTAACTGTAAACAGTATATTCCTTCGACTTTTTCTAATAATTTTGCAACTTGCCAGTCGACTAATTGCCTCGCTCTCTGTTCTTTTTCGGTGAAAAGAAATGTGGATAAGCATTCTCCCTTACAGTAATACAGTGCTTCCGTTCTTACCCAATTTTTCCAACATTTATCTGAGTAAATACAGCGGATCGATATAGAGGACACATGCGCCATTTACACTTATAATTTCCATTATTGTATGAGTTTGGTTTGAGTACAGTGAACGATTCTTGCGCAGTATTTGGATTTTTTCATGTGTTTATTGCGCTAGCAGTATCATTTGCATTTAATTAGATTCCTAATTAACAGAGACTTTTTTTCCACTGCACACTCATTACTGCGAGACATTTGTATCATCTTCCTAATTTACTTCTTTATAGTGGTTTTTTCTACCGACTTCCCTTTTTTAACTGGTAGTTGAATTTTCGAG